TGTCAGTTGGATTTCGGTATTCCTAAACAGACAACCATGTCTCACGAAACCTAACTCAACTGCAACTGTCAATATATATATATATATATAGATATATATATGGGTTCTCTAAATTAGGGTCCCTTTTAGGGTCCTATTTTATAAGGGTGCCGTACTATATTGCGGGATCCCAAAGAAGACCCGAATTTAGAAAACTCCTCTTATATATACATATATATATATATATACATATATACACACACATATGCTATATTCCCAGGTGGAGCTTTAAAGGATCGGTGGGACTAGCTCGTCATGTCATGTGAATAGAGCTACAAGCTCCCTGGAGTAACCATCTTACTTTATAACCTGCTTTAATGCACAGTAAACACCCTCCAGGGTAATGTACATACCAATAAATGGTTTTCTTGTATATTACACTGCACGTTGCCAGCTACCACGGGTAATGAAAGTTAGTGAAAAGCCCTAGACCCTAAACCCTACTAAGCCCGAAGCCCTAAACCCTAAGCCCCAAAACCCTCTGCAGTGGTTGTCTGCACGAGCTCGCCGAAGCAAACGTAAGAGGTCCTCGCTACCGTACTGAGATGCGATCATCAAGGCCTTAGTTGCTGAGAGGGTTTAAGGTTTAGGGTTTAAGGTCCGGGTTTTAGGGTTTAGGGTTTAAGGTTCCGGGTTTAGGGTTTAGGGTTCGATAGGGGGTCTTATTATCCCAAAAAAGCGTAAAGTGTACTCACTCGGCTACTAAGGAGCTGTGTTTCCGGCCTCTGGGAGTGTCTAGAGATTTGTGCGGCCAGAGTGTGAGCGAGCCGCCGAAGAGCACGCTTCAGCATGTCCGACTCTGCGAGCACTGGGGCTGTCGGGGCCGTTGCCGTGGAGCACGGGATATGGGGAGTTTCTGGGGGGGCCCGAAACCTGCTCGCACAGAGCACGGAGGGGGGCCGAAGGCATGGGATCCTCAGGTTTAGAACCCGACCTGGGGACTGAAATGACTGAGGGGGCGGGGATGCAGCGCCCTGTCAGCAAAGAGACAATCTGCAAGTGGCCGCTCTCAGATGCCCGCATTAAGGCTGTCTTTCCATCAAGGTCTTCGAAGTCCTTGTTAGCACCAGCTTCCAGCAGCAAGCGTACAACCTCCAACTGGCCACACTCAGATGCGAGCAGTAAGGCTGTGAAACCGCGCTCATCCCGGGCATCTTTACCAGCACCAGCTTTTAGCAGCAAACGTGCAACGCCCAAATGACCACTCACGGATGCGTACATCAGGGCTGTCTTGCCGTCATTGTTCGAGCAGTCTTTACCAGCACCAGCTGCTACCAGCAATCGTGCAACATCCAAGTGGCCGCGCTCAGAGGCACGCATTAGCGGTGTTCTTCCGCCACGGTCCCGGCAGTCTTTCTCAGCACCGGCTTCCACCAGCAAACGCGCAACGTCCAGGTGACCGCCCACAGATGCATACATCAGGGCTGTCTTGCCGTCATTGTTCGAGCAGTGTTTATCAGCACCAGCTTCCACGAGCAATCGTGCAACCTCCAAGTGGCCGTGCTCAGAGGCATGCATGAGGGCTGTCTTGCTGCCACAGTCCCGATAGTCTATATAACAACCAATACCGGCTTCAAGCAAACAGCGGACCGCATTAACTTGATTTTGTCGAGAAGCATTTGCCAAATGCTCGATAGCAGCATCAGTGAACCTTTTAGACTGGCCGGAGATGGTCAGCAGCACCAACTGCAAATCCATGCCTGCATCCATTTTATCATCATCAGCTAAGATCTTGCCGTCGTGCACAAGTTGCTGCAGACATATCGGGAGGCCGTACAGTTCTAGCAAATGCTGCTTCACGGCATTCGCGTCAATGAACTCTTCGGCACGTATGGCAGCCAGCTCTTGCCCAGAAGCTCTCCAGACGCGAAGCATTGCCCAGTGGGAAGCTGGCTGATACTGCGCCACGCCCGTATGGAGTCCTAGCAACCCCCCTGTCAAGCCTGTCTGCCCCAACCCCAAGCGCGAAACCCCTTAACTAGGCACAAATCTACTTTCAATCTACTGCTTCCTGCCTAAGAGCCTCATCATGATGTATCTTGAATCACAGACCGTTATCCAAACTCTCAACCCCCCGACAAGAACAAGAAAGAATCCCCTCGTGTGCGAAAGCATGGGTGCATTGAGAAGTAGAATAGGGTTTTGGGTTATATGGGGGCTTCCGAAAATAGGCGACCCTAATATAGTACCCTAAATAAATAGGATCCTTATTATAAGGACCCCAATATTTTGGTACCCTACTTTTTGGAAACTCCCATATTACACCTAAACCCTAAACCCTAAACAGTACAATCGTACAAGGACTGTGAGGGGCCTCCATTACTCGGTACCTCAGACCTTTCTATGCGGTTTGGGGTTTAGGGTATCAGGTTTAGGGTTTAGGGTTTAGGGGTGCGGCGCTCTTGACCCGACCCGATATGCTTGGGCCAGCGCAGCGGCCCGCGTGACTCAAAACTTTGCGTCCAACCTTCTTCGGATTCCTCAACCTTCATCAGAACCTAAGCCTGAACCTACATCGCACACCAACCCTGAAAACCCTGATCTTAAACCCCAGCAGCCCTAAACCTTCAATCTTCATCCTCTAAACCCTAGACCCTAAACCCTAAACCTAAAATGAACTAAAAGGAACCCTAATTCGGAAATCTAAGCCCTGAGCAGAAATGCACTTCGCTCTAGCCAAGACACGTCGAAGATTCAACGACTGTCCTCGCGAGCAGCCCGTCATTGAAGTATGCTTCGAGTTTCGAGTTTAGGGTGTTGTTGGTCTTCTGAGTATGACTCTGGTCCTGGGTTTTATCTGGGCATTCGGAAATTCATTGGAGAGCCCTTCTTTGAGATCTCTTCAGTAGGGCCTTCGCGTTTTTGTTGCTTGTTGGGGGGCATGAGAGATTCACGGCTAGCCATCCTGGTTCGGGCCTTGCAAGCGGTTGTATCGGTAGCTTCAGCTCTTGGCATTGCTTTCAACTTCCGTTTTGTTGAAAAGCCATGTGTCTGGCAACTCGGATAGCCAAGACAGTGTTGCCGATACCACGATACTCTCCAACTAGACGAGATATTGGCACCACGAGCAAGAGAAATCCCTGCATAATATAGGGGCCTTAATAATTAGAACGGGGTTTTGGGGCCCATTATACTAGAAATCATAATCAGGAACCCCCAGAATAGTATTGGTAATCATTCAGGCCCCTATATTAGGCCACAGGAAAAACCCACACAGTCCATCACAACGATCCGAAGGGAAAAGCAAGCGGTGGTGCCATAGGTCCGAAACCCTATATAGACGCCGGTGGCATCCTGCTTCGGTTGTTCGGAATCACTGCTACCGCAAACCGTTCAAGTACTTCAACGAAACTTTTTCATGTAATACTGGGGCCTAAATAGTTTGACTGGCGTGCTTACAATCAGGAACACGCTAGAGAACAGTCTGGGTAAGGTATTTAGGCCCCTCTATTCGTGTCCTTCAGGTTGAAGGTCCTCGATCGAATTTCCAACACTTCCCGCCCAACCAATGGATTAGGGTTTAGGGTTTAGGGTTTAGGGCTTTAGGGTTTTAGGGTTTTAGGGTTTTAGGGTTTTAGGGTTTTAGGGTTTTAGGGCTTATGAACAAAGGAACCCGCAACGAGCCTCAAGCCTAAACCCCAAACAACCCTAAACTCTAAACCCCCCAAAGCCTAAACCCCCCCCAAACCCTAAACCCATATGGGTGGTTGTCAAAATTATGGTCCCTTTTTGGGTCCTTATTATAATACGGCACCTATTATTTAGGGTACCCCAAAAGGGACCATAATTTTGACAACTACCCATATGTTAAACCTCCGAAACCC